CATCCATAACGAAAAAGTTTAGATAGGCAATATAATAGAAAATGCAAGGTTGGCCACGTTTGTGTGGTTCAGCGCCAAGTGCCCACACACCCGTCTGCCGCCAAAGCGGCACACTTGCACATATACATATGTATACATATATAGTCAAATATTTCAAATCATAAGGCGATGGAGGGCATAAGGCAACTTACCTAAGACGGAAGACTAGTCCAGCAAGAAGGCACCGACCCGACCCCCTCGAAGATCCAAAAACACTTGGAGATCCTTCCGCGTCGGCCCACAGAACCAAAAACTCATTTGCCAAAAACAAATATATATAACAGCATTGTGTGTGTGTGTTGTCATCTGTGTGTGTGTATGCGTGTGTGTGTGTGTGCGACACTGTATGTATGTGAGTGTGTTGAAGATAAGTCGGATATATACAACTACAGCAGCGTGTGCCTGTTTTTTTTTTTTTTTTTCCCCCTGGACATCCGGACTTGTTCATTCATAACCAGACCGTCCGGGTCCATATGTCCGGTCGGTGTCCGGAGTAATCCAGACACGGGTCCGCGCCTGGTGTCTGGTGTCTGGATGTCCGGGTCCCCAGGCCAACCATGAGTTTAAGCCTCTTGAAGTATCGTGAAATTGAGGGTCTGAACCCTGATTGGCATGCTAATCAAAGCCCTGAATGTCAGATAAGATGATTCTGGCTGAAAATCCGACCTCATAATTTTTCTATTGGCTGTGTCCCGACTGGCCCCGGCAGGACCTGAGCAGCCAGTTCCCCCTGGCGTGCCGCTCCCTCATTGCCACGGGTTACAGGGCAGCACAACGCTCCCCAGCGAGCTATCAGCATCGACTGGCCCTGGCCATCTTCCTCAGGCCACCGAAACCGATGGCAACAGGAATAGAACCCAGCACCTACGCGGCGCCACTCGAGCATGAAACCTACTGAGCTAACCAGCTGGACCCGTCACCAAATGTTTGTGTTAGGTTATTTCAATCCTTTCAACAAGCAATGCAACTCATTTCATAGTTGCACCATCCACACTGTGAATCCCTCATGGGCCCGCGTCAGTGTCTGCCGAGAAATGTCAGGGTAGTTGTTCACACTGTGCGCAGAAGAATGGACCCGAACTGTGAAATCGTGCTTCCGTGACTTCACACTTCACTCAATTTCATGACGGTCATTTTACGAGGTACTCCTATGAAGGGTCTAAGTACACACTCCGTAGATGCGGACAACACAGAGCCTCCCTGAACCGTTCACGTGTCAACTCTCTTCCACAAGTTCGGCATCGCTATGTCCTACAATGTGTCAGTCCTCCAAGAGTACCTTGTCTGACAAGCGTACTCAGAAGAAAGCAAGGGAAAGACTTAACCTTACCGAAAAGAGATTGTACACGACCTCAAACTGCCAGTTCACCCGAAAGAGAGTACGGCTCTTGCCGGTTTGCGTGGTAAGAGCTTTTCGAGTCAAGACCAGAACGACCAGCAGCGCAGTGCTACCGGGAGCGCCGCACCGCAGGATCACGGTACCTGCCAGGTGGTTGGCTCGTGGTGCTCACGGGCAGGCGAGATTCGTCATCGGCGGTTTGCTGGCGGGTGATCCAGCTGCTGAGCGAGGGAACGCTTCTAGGTCGGGAGCTATGGTGAGGAGCTGCGATGTGAGGAGGCCAGCTGTGGCATTCTGCGTTCCACACGGGCCCCTGCAGGGCCCGACCAGGTAGGCTAGGGGTTAGGTAGTCGTTTCAGTATACGTAGAGGCCCTTCAGGACCTGTGTGGTTTCGGCCCAGGTAGGCCCCATAGGTCGGTAGGCCCAGTAGGTCGGCCCTGGTGACCGTTTTGGGGTCAGACCCCGGTAGAGGCCCAGTAGGCGCCCAGGCCATTTCAGGCCTTTTTCAAATTCGAAAGATTCCAATTTGGGCGCCAACTTGGGCGCCAGATACTGGCGCCGCCGCTCGGCATTGGTGAGAGCAGCCTCCCAGCCTGACCAGCGCTATATATCGCTGGTCTGCCTAGGAGGCAGCACTCCTTCTTGAGGCACTTTGTGGCAGTGCGCTTCAGTAGTAGTAGTAGTCGACGATAGCGGTAGGACTCCAGTGCAAGGCTTCAGCGCTAGTATAGCGCAGCTGCAGTACATCGTAGCAGAGAGAGAGGGAGAGAGACTGGGTTATGGCGGAGGCCAGGGGACTTACCTGAGAACTTACCTGTCGGCTCCAGCGCTCCAGCTTCGTCTTGCGTGCGTCCATACCTGCAACAAGGCAACACCTTTCACAGGTTAGTACCTGGTGCACAGAGAGAGCGAGAGGGAGTTCTTCTTCCTTCTCCTCCTCCAGTCCATCGCTCTTCTCCTTCCCCTTCAGCGCTCTGGTTCCTCCT